GAGAGAGAGAGAGAGAGAGAGAGAGAGTGAGAGAGAGAGAGAGAGAAAGAGGGAGAGAGGGAGGGGGGGAGAGGAAGGGAAGGTGGAGAGGGAGTAAGAGGGAGAAAAAAGATAAACAGGTAGATATTGTGTTGCAAGTGCCGTAAAACTCTGACTAAGACTAAACAGGTAGAGAAGACAGCATAAAGAGAATAAGCTGTGCACAGCTCCTGCATAGGAAGCTCGATCGGTTCGAATGAAAAAAACAACAACCAACAAACAAAAATATGCTCAAAGGCAGTAGTTGACTTTCATAGAAGCAGCAGAAAATGACAACCTTGTTCTGTTTATTATTAGCAAGAACCAAGATACTTTTTTAAAAAATCCATCATTAGCCGTTCGCTAGCCTTTCATGTTACAAAAGCTTACTACAATTTCTATCTGATCAAAACGCAAACGGGATTGGGGGGGGGGGGATGGGCTTGTACTATGACCTATACATTGAAGGGATATCAAAATGGCGTCTTTTGTTTATGCTCACCCTTACTGTTTTGAACATTTATCGTGGAACATAATACAGATTTTCATTCTGAGGCTGTTTTCTTCTGCTCAGCACTTGTTTCAAGTAGAATCTACCACGTAAATGTGCTACTCAAAGCATTCTCCTATGGCAAGGAATTATGATAATGCAATTCGCCTGCTTATCATAACTTGTAAACACGAGCTGAATTGATGAAAGCTTCATGATGATTTATACAGAGAGAGATAAAACGGTGTTAATATTTTATTAATAAGGACCATAGTCCACACTTCTGATCACTCAGACTGTTTGCCTTACCATTGATTCATTATCAAAATTCAGAGAAATGCCCTATACGGGGTTGGGTGTCAATTCTAACACATAGTCCGCGCATGTCTATGGTGTTGGGTGTCAATTCTAAAACATAGTCCGCGCATGTCTATGGTGTTGGGTGTCAATTCTAACACAAAGTCCGCGCATGATCACCGTGGGCCTTCCGTTCTCAGAGGTGAAAGGTTTATCTTTCCAACACCTTTTCCCCTGTTATGGCAGGTGTACACTCTGAGAAAAATAGCAGTTACCTCATCGCATTCTGTTCCTATGGCCGGTATCTCTCCCGTCACTTGATAGTACCCGTATTATATATTCAAAATGATCCGCCGGCTGATGGTTATCTTTGCAATTCTCGCATTAATTTTTCTATTCACACATGGATTGAAAGGCCGATTTATAAATATATACTTCAATTTCAAGCCGTCTTACCATTGCTGCTGATATAAATGGGCTAACCATCAGATTGTAAGCCATTAGAAGCTGGAACAAAGTTAGCAGCAGCGCTCAGAGTTTTATTTTGTCTTAGATTTTTAACAGACACCATGTTTTATAGTTTTGGGAATCGCACGTCACCTCATACACAGGATAATTCACTTCGAAAGTGGAGCACGTCGAGCTGAGGTGGTATGTTCAAATTAAGACAACAGACTTTTAGACCTGCTGCCATAGATGTACCCTAAAGTTTAAGAGAGGGTAACTCTATGCCTGCTACTCTATTCTTTTCTGTTCTCCAGGGCCTGTTCAAACCGAGCGCGTTTTTCTACGTGGCCAGCCTGATCCACATCCTCGTCTTCTATGGCGCTTCCTGGCTTATCTTGTACAAGTACGGAACCGGCTGGCTGCCCTGGCTGGCAGCCCTCACCTGCTTTGTTATTTCCCAGGTAAGTTCAACACATGCCTCCCCCTTTCGGCCGAACAACCACAGAAGA